TGATCTGATTGTCAGTAACCCACACCTGAGATAAATAAATATATTAATACTCTTATAATGTTGTTTATTATTAAACAACCTCTTATTTATTTAGGAAGTATTCCAATGGTAAGAAGTGAGCTTCCGAGGTTATATTATTATTATTTGTAAAATATAAGAGAGATGTTACAGTATGTACGAGGGTGGTCTGATAAGTTTCCGACCGCAACTTGAAGATGGTAGCACTCATAAATAAAAGCAAGTGAATTTCATCGTTCATCTGTTGATAGATAACAAAAAAAGTTTCAGCCATTTTGGACGTGCAGTTTTTATGTAACAGTCGTTTGGGTGAGTTGATGTGAGTGTGTTTGTGAAAATGGACAAAATCGAGTATCGAGCTGTCATTAAATATATTTTTTTGAAAGGCAGTACGCCTATGCAAATCAAAGATGAGTTGGATTCTGTGTATGGGGACTCTGCACCATCATTTACCACAGTGAAATTTTGGAAAGCTGAATTTAAACGTGGCCTTAAGAGCTTGGGAGACGATGAACGTTTGGGACGTCCAAAAACTGCAAATACCGATGAAAACATCGCCAAAGTTCACCAAATGGTGCTACACGACAGCTGAATTAAAGTGAGAGAGATAGCAGAGGTTATGAACATGTCAAAATAACGTGTTTGTTACATATTAAATCAACATTTAGATGTGAAAAAGCTGTTCACACGTTGTGTGCAGTGTTGCCAAAAATGTGTTCGAATAAACATTTCCAACGCTCTGTTGGCGCAATAAATCTGAGTTTTGGCGTCGATTAATTACTGTAGAAGAAACTTGGATACACCATTATATGTCCGAAACAAAAACATTGGACTGCAAAGGCTTCAAAAAAAAGCAAACACTGTTTTCTCGGCTGGAAAAGTGATGACTGTTTTTTTGGGATAGTCATGGAGTTATTTTAATCAATTATCTTCAAAAAAGAAAAACTATTACAGGAGCATACTACGTACTCATTACTACTCATCATTATTTGACAAGCTGAAGGCAGAACTTGCGGAAAATGGCCACATTTACAGAAAAAGAAAATCCTGTTTCACCAAGACAACGCACCATCTCACACCTCAGCGGTTGCCATGGCGAAAACCCACGAATTACAGTTTAAACTGCTTGAGCATCATCTACCTTGCTCACCAGATCTAGCCCCAAGAGACTTCTTTTTGTTCCCTTATCTAACAATTGCATTCGGAGAACAGATTTTCATCAAATGAAGAGGCAACCACCTTCGTGAACAATTATTTTGCAGAGAAAAACGCAGAGTACATTTTGGACGGGTTACAGAGATGAGAGCATCGCTGGGAGAAGTGTGTAGAGTGTACAAGGAGACTGTTGAAAAATAAAAAAAAATGTCTTATATTTTTGTTAGGTCGGAAACTTTTTAGACCACCCTCGTATATATATTTCTTTGTTTTTCCATTACACAACAAGTATTCCTGAGAATTTATTTTTATTTCTTTTAGTGTTTTAATATCATTATTTAAATCACTGCAGATATTATTACATTTTGTATTAAGTTAGTTTTTTATTAGTTAGCCTATTGTTTATAAATTGTACAGTTATGTAACATATATATGTATATATCCTTTTTTTTTTGTTTATTGCTTTTTTCAACCATCACAATAATAAGTAATTTTGAGAAGATTTCATGTTCATTTGTTTTTTGTTTATTTTTTAGTAGGTACATACTATTTTATAAATTAATGTATATAATGTTAGAATTTTTATAATTTAGTTTTGGGCCAGATTTATATTTTCTTTTGTATTTATTCATCATTGTTATTCTAAGGGGACTTAGTCCCAGAATAAAGTTCAATTTTCCATTCCATTCTATTCTAAATAGAGAAAACAAAGGAAACTTAGAGATCAAGAGAAGGATAGTAGCGGCAAACAAGTGCTATTTTTGCCTAAATAAGCATTTCAAAAGTAAACTCATCTCTCGTAGAACAAAGACAGCTTTATGAAACGCTCATTCATCCGGTACTGATGTATGGCTCCGAAGCGTGGATCATGACGCAAGCAGATAAGTGAGCCCTAGCATTATTTGAGTGGAAGATGCTCTGCAGAATCTATGGTCCTGTGCGCGATGAACAGAATTGGAAGATAAGATATAACACAGAGCTCTAGAATCTGTTGAAGGAGCCGGATGTCATAAGAACTATAAAGCTTGCAACACTGCGATGAGCAGGGCATGTGGCGAGGATGCAAAATGATGAAATTCCCCAAAAAAACTATGGAGAGCAATGAGCAAGGCTCTAGGAGTGTTAGGAAGACCACGGCTGCGATGGCAAGGGATGCACGTGAGCTACTAGGTGTACATAACTTGAAAGCAGCTGCGCAGGATAGGGATGCCTGATGGACATGTCTTGAGGAGGCCAAGACTCTTCATGAGCTGTAGTGAATAAACTTTCAGTTTTATTATTTCAGAAATATATGGCTATTTCTAAAATAATTAAACGGAAAGTTTTTCATTCACTGTTTTATTTATTGCTTGATTACCATTTAATTTATATCTTAATTACTTTTCAAATATGTAAAATAATAGTTTCCGAAATAACTACAGTTCTGAAAGAAGTTCAAAATCCATGAATAGTGAAAATATATGATAGTATAAAATTATTAATATCTTAAATACTATACTCCCCACCACCGTAAGAGCTATAAAACAATTGCTTCAAAATCAGTTGAAGATAATACAGATCCTTTTAGTGCCTCATTAGAATATAGAACAACTCCAAATGGTAATTTTCCCTCCTAAGCAGAGTTCTTAATGTCTTGAAAATTAAAACAAAAATTCTGAATTAATTGAAAAATAACTTAAAATCTCAAATATTGGATTCTAAACAATGTCAACAACAGATTGCCAAACAAAATCAAAAGTCAAAGGCTTATTACATAACAGTACCAGACATTTATCAGAACAAGAAGTGGATAATAAAGATTTGGTAAAGAAAACTCTATAATCAAATAAGATAGAAGGAATAATCAGTAGGCCTATAACTAGTAGGCCCGTGCGAAAAATTAGCACAGCATATTTTTATCAAATGCCAAATTAATAAGAAAAGAAAATAGTGCAACGTATCAAAAGATAAAGAAATCAATTGTTACTTCATCGATAAATATAATCGACAAAGGAAACAAAATTAATTTAAATCTTCATTAATGTTTGGAACCAACATGTTTAAAAATTTCAATAAGCTGTATCTTTGCTAAAACTTGTGCGATTTCGATGATTTTTTTTTTCATTTTGTAGGGAATTTAGTAATCTTTTATAAAATCATAGGCATACGGGAAAAATGTGTAATTTTTCAGTTATTCGCAAATAAAGTTTGTTTTCTTTCAAAACTTGTTTGACTGAATTTTCGGGGTGATTGGACTATTTTTCCCGCCTGAAGGAGAAGGAAGCCTTCGAAATTGGTGGCTCAATCTTGAGATTTGGTGAAGAATTAACAATGATACGGCTTGCCGATCAAAAACACCATCAATAAATATTATAAACTCCTCCTCTCTCGATCACAGAGGCCTCAAGTTGACAAAATGAGACATTTATTCAATGACAGTACTACAATTAACGTAAGGTTGTGTGGATGCGAATCCTATGCCTTGCTTTATCTTGAAAATGCTACGTTTTTGGGCTTAAAAATGCAGGATCCGATAGGTCTTGCCGTATGCATCAAAATCTTGAAGGTCCAATTTGTCCTGTATCGATCTACAGACCTAACACCATTCCAGTATGGAAAAATGTTTATATCGACTATATTTATTTTAGAAAGAAAAACAAAAGTGGAGAACACGATTCGCTAACCCCCCATGAAATTCTGAATTCAACGGTACCCCATTCATGGTATTTGAGCATGACAGGAGCTTATATTTGGTACAAAACAGATTTCGAGCCTTACTGTAATAATATATGAGCGGATAAATCAGAAGAACGAAGATCATGTATAATCAAATCTTCTGAAGACACTTCCAGAAGAAATAGACACCACATCCAAAAAGTAGAAGAAAATTTTAATAATATAAAAATTGAAAATATGTCACACGAAGCTCAAAAGTTATTAATTGAAGATCCAACTCCACACATACCAGTAATTTAACCTCCAAATTACACTTGAAGATTACTACAAATTATAACACAAGAGGTAATGAGAAGATTTCAAAGAATTAGGTAAGCTACATTCATACAATAGGAAGGGAAGGTAATACAACATTTTTGATTCAGAAGTCAGATTGTTCTAGGAGTTCATAAATAAAGTAATAAGATTAAGTGTATAATTTCATTTTATCATAACATGTATATAAAACAACAAATACAACAATAAATAACCAAAAATAAGAATTTTTTAAAAATAAATTATAGGAATTATGATAAGAGTACTATGAAAAAGAGTACTGAGTTACATTTATCATAAAATTGGTCATAGGGGTCCAAATTGTTGAAAACTAAAGAAAAAAATTAAAATTGTGTGATTATAATTTCAAAATGATAAGAAGTACTAACAAATGAAAATCTTGGTTTTATGTGTGATATCTTATCTAATATATATAATCAAAACTATCATATTTGATGCATGGAAATCTCTTATTTCATGACAATTTTACTGGATTAATAATGAGCATAACATAGAACAATTTATTAAGAAAAAAAAGAATAAGATAGATTGGCAATGTAAAAAGAATGGGAAATGAAAGATAAAAAGATTATGAATGGCAACCCTGAAGGCAAGAAAAATGAACTTAATATATAACAATTTAATAACACCAGAGTTGCCTCAATGGCTTTGAGCGGATTGAGCTTCTAGCCCAAAAAGCTAAGCTTAAAAAAGGATTACAATCTCACAATGGAACAAATAAATTTCAAAAATTAAAATAAACTTTTTTGCTTATTTATTGCGGTCCGTAACAGCATGTGCAATCAAAACTGGTTATGGCATTATAAATTGTAACTAAACAACAAAAATTTATATACCTTGTTTAAAAGAAAGTTCATCACTTTCAGCTCCTTCATAGTCATACAGAGCCCGCACTGGTATTCCGGGTTCACCATTATCAACTAAAGCTTCACTACCATCATCCCATTCATCTTCTTCAAAAGGATTTACCTCACCACTTCCTTGGTTGTTATCATTTCTTTATACATAAAACAAAAACAAAAATAATAAGTAATTATTGACACAAAATTAAGTTGTTAATTTATCAAGAAATAAAATTTAATCTAAAGAGAAGCACACAAGATATGGATTTTCACATTTCATATTACTAAATTATCATTTTACCATTTGCTTAAAATACAGACAACTAGGAACAATTGGTATATATATATATATATATATATAGGCATGTTTGAGAATCCTATTTGATGGTTAAACATGTAAATAACTTTTCTTTTTTAACACTTTAAAGAACGCAGTGGGCGTATACGCCTGCTCACTAATTTATCCAAGGGACCATGGCGAGCATATATGTTTTCTCCATTCTTTTTTTTAATTGTAGCGATTTAAAACTTTAAAAAATGCATGATACTATTTTTAACAGCATATTAAAACTTTTGAGAGAAAAAAAACAATTTGGTCCACTTGTTATTGGACGGAGGGAGATAACGGAGAGGAGAAAAATACACTCGAATGACCTGGTCGTTAAAAGGTTATTTTTTTGACATTTCGAACTTTTTTTATTGTTGTCCACAGAGATAGACAACCGAAAAAATCTATGTAAATTTATTTGTTCAAAAGTGTCACTTTTCTAAAACCAATCAGTAGATAACACACTCAAAAAATTTGAAATGTACATGACAATTTTTTTATTCCTGACCCAGGGAATCTTTCATTACTATTTCCCAACTTCTGGCCCTATTTTATTGTAATAAACTCTTGAATTTATATAAAATTTATTTTTTCTGTCTCTAATATCGTTCATGGTTAGTCTACTCATGGAAAAAAAATGAGGTGTACTCTTATAAAAATCCAAATTAGATTTAAATTTTCGGTCCTTTACCTTTCTCCAATAAGCTATCAGGCTACTTCTTTTATTGCCTATCAAAAAAGGGGTAACACCACCTATGATAGAGAATAAACAAGGTCTAGGTAGAAATATTAGTAATAAGCTACAACTTAGATGGCCTATCCTGTTAATGCCTAGCACTAGTAATTTAATAATACTAGGTTGTTATAAAAGTCTTTGTGCATGAATACAACCCTTAATTTCAATTCTTCTAATTAATCTGATAAAAATGTTTTTGTTCCTAATATTTAAGTCAATGTTTACTTTGACTAATCCTGTAATTCCTTGTGGCTTGAGTTGACTTCATTAGTTCAGTAACCTTGTATATTGTAAGTTTCATTGAATGAGAGTAGAAGGTAACAAAATCCAAGTTTTCGACCTCAGTGCCCCCACCTTCACTGCACCCGGATCACTTTTGAATATCCCAAAAACTCCTATATTTTCCCCCATTTTATCCATGAAACAGAGAGTTTTCAAAAAACCATACGATAGGATACATTTTTAAACTAGATTAAATATGCTACAACTTAAGAGCAGAATAGGCTCGGTAAATCAAATAGTTTTCAAGATACAGGTTTTCAAAGTTTGTAAAATTTTAAGATATTTTTTAAGCTTGATCATATGCAATCGTCTTTTATCTTTAACCTGTGTGATACGAGCCAGTGAAGTAAACATTTATTCATTTTAAAATTTTTTAAGGAGATGAAGAAAGGTTTAGTGGTAGAGCAGTCCGTGGACCAAACCCCCTACTGCCTCCATACTCTCCCCCATTCCTATAAATTGTATATCGTTGTGTTCATTGTAACTATTTATTTAAAGAAAGCCAATGCTCCTACAAAAAAGTGTACGCATTGTCTCAAAATGGCGGATAAACGACTTTGACTTAAGTTAGTTTTTCAGTCACTGAGATTCAACAGTTGGCTTAATCTCATCATAACTGGTCTTTTATTAAAGCTGGATAGTCAGAGAATAATAAACCATCGAAAAAATAATTGGCCTTGGAAAAAAAAAATACTGTTAAAGTCAATTAAAAGGCCAACAATAACGCAAAACGCCTTGAAATAAAACATCTAGGGAATACATTTCTGTTTCTAAATCACTCATTAATTTTTAACATATTTGCAATGATTCTTTAGAAAATGCACTAATCAGCAGAAAAGTGGCACTAGCGTAGACCTCTGCCACCTCATTCAGTTCTCATAAATCGGAAATGTCGAGCGGTTTCTAGTCGTTTCAGTCTTGTATGAGGATTCCATGTGAGTCGTTTGTCAAGGTCAAGGAGTCCTAGGTAACGGATTTGTTCAACTGGGATAAGTGGGGAATTGTTAAAGAATACTGTAGGACAGGTCATAGGTTTGCGACGCAGGGCAAAGGTAATTTGATGGGATTTATTGGAGTTTATTTTAATACTCCAGTTTTGACACCATTCTTCAAGACTTGTGATGTGTGAATGGAGAGTTTGGGATGCAATTGATGGATCGTTGTTAACTGATAGGATACACGTGTCATCGGCATAGGTGGTGATGACAGTGTTGGGATGGGTTGGAATGTCAGCTGTATAAACTGTGTAAAGGATAGGACCTAGGGTACTACCTTGAGGAACACCAGCAAACTGAGATAAAAGAGATGAACAGGCATTTTTGTGATTTACTTTGGAGGATCTATCACTAAGGTAGGAACGGATAATGAGGAATTATGTAGGTGGTAAGAATTTACGGAGTTTGTATATCAGTCCCAGATGCCAGATGCTATCAAATGCCTGTTCAACGTCGAGAAAGACTCCCGAGCAGTACATTCCGCGCTCCAATGCAGAGGAAACCACGTCTACCACATGACATTGCTGAATAGTGGAGTGAGATGTACGGAATCCAAATTGGTGATCTGGGATTATGTTATTAGAATCTAGGATGGGATACAGGCGTTTTAAGATGAGTTTTTCTAGGATTTTGCCCATAATGGGTAAAAGAGTGATAGGACGGTAAGAGGATGGGTATTCTGGCTTGGAGGGTGGGTTTGGGTATCATTTTGACAATGAATAGTTTCCAAGAGTCAGGAAAATATGTGGTTCAGAGTACTGCATTATATATAGCATTTCCAAGTCAATTTCAACCTTTTCCAAATCGAATTCAACCTTTTCCAAGTCAAATTAAACCTTTTCCATTTCAAATTCAACCTTGTCCAAGTCAAATTCAACCTTTTCCATTTCAAATTCAACTTCCGAATTTTTGTCAATTTTCGATTTTTTTCGAAATGAAGGCCACTTACTATATTATCGAAGGCATAACTTTTGAAAAATACAAAAAATATTTTGATAACGTGGTTGTATATCCATTTATTTTAACATTTTAGATTTTTTCAGTGTGATATTTCTATGTCATATTCAATTATTTCCAAGTCAAATTCAACCTTTTCCAAGTCAAATTCAACCTTTTCCAGATCAAATTAAACTTTTTCCAAGTCAAATTCAACCATTTCCATTTCAAATTAAACCTTTTCCAATTCAAATTCAACCATTTTCATTTCAAATTAATGTTTTAATTTTTCGTAAATTTTATATATATTTTTTAAATAATGGCCATCCCCTCCCCCTCCCTCCAATATGAAAGTCTATTATTATGCTCTCATAAGTAGAATTTTCACTTACGGATATCGATTTATTGTACCTATTCGGATTTATTAGGGACTAGTATTATGCTGTCCTGTACCTAGTTTTGAAAATAACCTCCATTTTAAGTTTACGTGACTGCGTTTCGAATCATTTAAGTTTTTTTGAAATATTCGATATAAGGGTGTATTTTTATGTTTCCCGATCAGTAAATTTTGAAAATGACATCCATTTTATGTTTACACCACTGTGTTTTGACTTGTTTAAGTTTTTAGAATTTATCCAATATAAAGGTCTACTTTTATGTTTCTGGAGCCGTAGATTTTGGAAACGACCTCCATTTTAAGATTAGGCCACCGCGTTTCGATTTCTTTGAGTTTTTCGGATTTTTTTTCATGTGAGGATGTATTCTTATGTTTCTGGAGCCGTAGATTTTGGAAACGACCTCCATTTTAAGATAAGGCCACCGCGTTTCGATTTCTTTGAGTTTTTAGGATTTTTTTCATGTGAGGATGTATTCTTATGTTTCTGGAGCCGTAGATTTTGGAAACGACCTCCATTTTAAGATTAGACCACCGCGTTTCGATTTCTTTGAGTTTTTCGGATTTTTTTCATGTGAGGATGTATTCTTAAGTTTCTGGAGCCGTAGATTTTGGAAACGACCTCCATTTTAAGATTAGGCCACCGCGTTTCGATTTCTTTGAGTTTTTAGGATTTTTTTCATGTGAGGATGTATTCTTATGTTTCTGGAGCCGTAGATTTTGGAAACGACCTCCATTTTAAGATTAGGCCACCGCGTTTCGATTTCTTTGAGTTTTTAGGATTTTTTTCATGTGAGGATGTATTCTTATGTTTCTGGAGCCGTAGATTTTGGAAACGACCTCCATTTTAAGATTAGGCCACCGCGTTTCGATTTCTTTGAGTTTTTAGGATTTTTTTCATGTGAGGATGTATTCTTATGTTTCCGGAGCCGTAGATTTTGATAACGACCTCCATTTTAAGATTAGGCCACCGCATTTCGATTTCTTTAAGTGTTTCGAATTTTTATCATAAAACAGTGTATTCTTATGTTTCCGGAGTCGCAGATTTCGAAAATGACCTCCATTTTAAGATTACGCCACTGCGTTTCGGCTTATTCAAGTTTTTCGAATTTATCCAATTTAAAGGTTTACTTTTATGATGCCAGAGTAAGGACGTTTTTAAGTAAGGACGAGGATGTAGGACGTTTTTAAAACGACTTACATTTTAAGATTAGGCCACTGTGTTTCGGTTTTTTTAAGTGTTTTTGATTTTTCCTTCGAATAAAAAACAAAATACGAAGGATTAATTTATTTTTCAATAAATAAATAAAAATATCTAATCAAAATAAATAAAATATGTATTGTCTCATTTTTAATTTAATTTTAGTTATCTTTTTTAATTTGTGGTCTCCTGTCACAAAATTATAAGATTTCGAAAAATTAGCTGAAAATCTGAATACGGAAGGTTGAATTTATTACCATTTGCTTTTCGGCTTTTTAGTTTG